TTCAAAGTGAAATAGGCATTATTTGTTTGCGTTTCATTGTTTAATAAAGACTCTTAGTAATTCAAGCAAAGTACCTTTGTGCAGCTGTAGCAGCAGTATGCATAGCTATTCAGATCGCATTTTTAGCTAATTTAATAGCAGCAGAATGGCATAGCAAATTCAGATGCAATGTTAGAAATAATATTAGCAGCAGTCTGCATAGCAACCAATTATTATTGCTAATATAGCAGGGGCAGCAGAAAGTACTTTTGTTGCATGAAATTTCAGTGATAATGCATGGATGGGCTACAGCAATTCTAGTACTTTCATGGAGCGTAGCAGCAGTATCCATAGAATCAGATTGCGTTATTAGCTAATTATTAATAGCAGTATGCATAGCAAATCAAAACATGCGTTTAGTTGCAGCAGCAGTAGGTAGACCGTAGTTTACATTCACATTTATTCATTTTGCAGACGCTTTTATCCAAAGCAACTTACAATTGCTGAAGTTTCAGTGACCATGGATGGTATGTGAACTCCTCAAGCGAATAGGCATCACTTGCGTTTCATTTATTTAAAAGGGGCTTAGCAATTCTAAGTACCTTTGTGCAGCTGTAGCAGCAGTATGAATAGTTATTCAGATTGCATGTAGCGAATTTAATAGCAGCAGTATGCATAGCAAATTCATATGTAATGTTAGAAATAATATTAGCAGCAGGAAGTCAAATTGTTGCTAATATAGCAGCGGGGTGAATTTTAATAGCAGCAGCAACAAAATTCAGACATAATAGAAATATTAGCAGCAGTCTGCATGGCAATCTAATTATCATTGTTGCTTATATAGCAGCGGCAACAGAAAGTACATTTAGTTGCATGAAATTTCAGTGGTAAGATAACGCTTGGATGGTAGTGAACTTTTTAGGTGAAATAGGCATTTTATTACTTTGCTATTCAATTCAACAGAGTTTATAGAACTCTTCAAAGCGAAATAAGCATTAATTGGCTGTTTTTAGTTATTTGTAAAGGGGCAGTAGCAATTCTAAGTACTTTTGTGCTGTAGCCAGTATGCATAGCTATTCAGATCACAATGTTAGCAAATTTTATAGCATGCATAGCAAATTCAGATGCAAGGTTAGAAATAATATTAGCAGCAGCATGCATAGCAAGTCATATTATTTTGCTAATATAGCAGAAGCAGCAGAAAGTGCTTTAGTTGCATTAAATTTTAGTGATAAATCATGGAGGGTAAATTTAACTCTTTAAAGTGCAATAGGCATTTATTACTTTGCTTATTCAATAGGGCTTACATCAGGTTTCGTGCAGCAGCAGTAGATTATGCTTCGTAAATTCTGATTAAATATTACAACCGGAACAGCTCGCACAATAAATTCCTATTACAACATTGTGAATATCATTAACAGCAACAGCATCTGAATATTATCATAGCAGCAGTAGCAGAGGTTTTGTTGCGTTGGCCATATCGCACTGCATACATTGCGGACAGCTTTACCTATCGTAATGGG